TTAGTCATATGACGAAATTAAAGCGGTGATTACATTTTCAAACAATTCCTAGTGTGGGATAACACTAGAAATTTCTCCTACATCGTGAAGGAGTTTTACACACACAAATTGCAAATGTACAAACACACAGATGCAAAACAATTATTTGTAGTCTATTCGAACCCCTGGCCTACACCTACAGTGCCACGGCAAACTGCTTAGCCACTGCACTACTGACGTATTTTTTTTTTACATCATTGACGTAATATGTACTACGTACTAGAACACGTACGTAATTCACCGCGAACAAAATCTGTGCGCAGTGCGTGGCGCGTGGTAGGAGGCCTTTTATAGCAGAGTGTCGCTGTCTCTTCTAATCTAATACGTAGTACATATACACTCTGATGATTTACATACACTTGGTGATAATTATTATAAGAGTGCACACTAGATCTGCTTCTCTTTGAACTGTCCAGTCCTTCGTAAAAAAATTATGTTTACTTTGTAACAATACTTTGTGTTCATAAATTGTTAAATAAAATTATGTAACAAACGTCTGCACTGATATAAGCAAAAACAGTTATTAGGCTAGGGTTTATATTCAATTACAAAAAAAAAAGAAACGTCCATAAATGTATGAAATTGTTATTGACATTTGCGAACGGAATATCTAAAATATTACCTATTAACGAGTTATATGGAAGTAAAATTAAAGCTCGAAATCGCAAGTGTTACTCGATCAACAAATAAGTTTGGAGGTCGCAGAGCATACGAGCTCACGACTTGCAAAATTATTTAAAACAAAATTACTAAACGTTTACGTTTGGATTCAAAAGTTTTTTGTCTTTTTTTTTTAAACGTTACCACACTCCACACTAGGAATTTCTCCTGTATCGTGGAGGAATTTACATACATAAGTTTCACAAGGACAAACATTCAGACCCGGAACAATTACTTGTAGGTCACACAAATAATTTTTTCGTGCGAAATTCGAACCCGCGGCATCAGGACGGACAGCTACGTGGCGCAATGGCTTAGTCGTAGTGGTAATGGTGCGTCGGAACCGATTTATATCATACAAATTAGTTCTTATTACTAAAAGAATTAGGCGACTCGGTAACACTGTAACGACAGATTCCCGTAGGTAATGAACAAGAATTTGTATGGCGTACAAGTAATTCCAGGTACGCAGTACTATTATTTATTCTGTGTTCCAGGTTTGAATCTATCACCCCATTACGTCTTGTGGATGTCGTAGGAGGCGACTATGACCTGAAATATGGCAATTTTAAGCCTGTATATTTATTTTGCAAGTGAGCCAGTCAGAAAAGAAAGTATTTGTACTTTAATGATTTTATCACACGTTATTACTTTCTGAATTTTAAAATTTGAAAGAAAAAATTCGTCGAAGTTTTTGCGGACAATTTGGAAATTAAAATGATTTCTTTATAATTTTTATGTAAGCAGCTTTATGACTTAATTTTTTTTTTTTTTTATAGGGGAGGGGGCAAACGAGCATGCGGCTCACCTGATGGTAAGTGACTACCGCCGCCCATGAACAACCGCAACACCAGGGGAATTGCAGATGCGTTGCCGGCCTTTTAAAAAGGAGTAGGAGTACAAATAAATATGGCATACACCTGTTGCTGTGGTGGGAAGGGATTACTGTGGCCTATAGTCATCTATCCTAGAACAAAATGCATAATATGCGTTGTCGCCCCGCAGTACTAGGCACAAATGTCACTTTCCACAGTAGCTAAATATTATTTTACGCTGGTATTTTTTACCTACTTCAAAAAAGAAGTTCGTGTTACCTCAGAACTTTTTTCTAGGTGAACTTCTTTTATTTCAAAGCTGGTGCTTCTCATGTGGGTCCTATATCAATTTGATCAAGATCTGATCTCAGTAGTTTTTGATTAGTTCTTAATAATTTATTTTGATACAAAATTTTAATTTTACCGCTTGTTATATGAGTTGTTATCAGCATGATACCGCTACGCATCTCCTGGTTTATTCCTCTTTTTAGACCCACGGCCGGATATATTAGTAGATATTTTTACACCGTCACTTCATGGTAAATAGTAAATAAATTACTATTCATATTTTGTTCCTTTTAAAAAAAAATCGTTACGATAGTTCGAATTCCGTTCGGGATTCGAACTGGTGACCCTCCCACGCGTGACCATACGCTTAACCACTGCACTACGGAATCGTTAAATTCTAAATTATTTATTTTATTACATAATTATAACATCATTACTGTTCTATTATTATTTACCAATGCGATGATATAACTAACCTATATGTAAGAAAACTACAGACTAATAAATGATAATATTATGTGCTCTACAAACTAGGTAAGACACATCATTTTCTGCCGACTTCGACTGTGTGTTTTTATGTATGTGTGTTACCTCATTAATTTTTACTGGGTGAACCGATTTCGATGATTCTTTTTTATTTGAAAGCTGATCAAGGTCAAACCAGTTTTTGAGTTATTCTTAATAATTTATATTGAAGTCGGCTGTACAAAATTTTTAATTTTAAATTATATTTTATCGAGCGGATATACGCGGGGTAATTTTTACCAACATTAATATAATGATAATATGTAACTATCAACATAAAATACTAATTAAGGAAATAACAATTATACTTCTACTATACTCTGTGTGCCAAGGTTTTTTATAATAAAAACAATTTGCTAAAAGATCAAATCGTGACCAAATAAAAAGGTTTCCGAGATACTCATGCCAAAAAGCAATCACCAGTCTGTTTCTCTTTTGGAATGTGTCTCCTCAAAACGTAACCAATACAAATCAATCAATATTAATAATGACTTATTTTTAGTTTACCTCAGATCATTTTTGTCATAAAAAATATACAGACACTTGTAATTTACATTTTAATTATGTGTATAGATTTTCGCCATTTTAATGTTAATTTTGTGTTTAAGACTTAGAAGGACTTGGTCTGCTTCTAAGCGCAAGTGCTAAGTGTAACTTTAAGCAAAAAAAAATAACAAAAAATTGTGATTTGATAACAAAAGATAACATAAAGATAACAACGTAACATAATTAACTTTGAATAAAACCGACTACTAAAACAAAATAAAACAATTACTTCTCGAAGATTTGAATCCGGGACTTCAAGTTATAAATAAAAGTTATTTTATTCCTTATTGTTTTAGAAGTAGCTTTTAGTTTTTTTATAGTTTAACTATTTTGCCTCTTGAAGTGGACTTAGGAATATCACTAGTTTGAGGTAAGGTAACAATTGGAACGTCGTCTTCACTAGTTAGTTACATTAATAACTTCTACCCCTATTTGTCCATCCTTAGGAAAGAAATTCCTTTTAATCAATTTAAGAAAAGAAGAATCATTAAAATCGGGTCCGCCATTTCTGAGAAATCGGTGAACATACATAAAAAAATAAACATACGCGTCGAACATAAAAGCTTCTCGTTTTTGGAACACGTTTAAAAAGCGCAATAGTGCCCAGAGTTCACGATTAAGTAAAAAGTTTATAATACATATATTTAATATTTACAGGTGATACAACGAAAACAGAATTGCTTCTAGTGTCATACTGTGGGTTTTATTCACGGCTAAACAAATAAGCAAGTATATTATATGATTTTTATTCGCAGTCATTAAAATGTAATTTACAATTGACATAATATATAACTAAGACTGCATACATACATAACATATTATATGTACTCTATGCTAAAACTCTATGTTAACAGTGGTAGAGCCACGCGGCAGCTTTTGCTGTCGCACGGATGGGCCGGCTCGAACCGGGGTGGTACCACGACCTCACAGAAAACCAGCGTGAAGTAGAGGTTTACCTCTGCGTTTCGCTTGGTGAGTGCAGGTGGCCGGAGGCCCTTTTTACTGTAAATGAGGCATGCCATCTTAGTCCTCACGGGTGACAACGCATCTACATTTTGATTTGTAACAGAGGATAGATGTAGATGTCTATGAGCCGCAGCAACCACTTACCATCAGCTGGACTGTGTGCTCGTTTGTCTCCCGTATCCTATAAAAAAAACACATGGAAAAAATTTACTTTAAATAATTTTTCCATGTGTCTTAGTATACAAGAAGATTTTAGTAGTCAGAAATAAATGACAGCTCTGTTGTGCTAATCTGTGTAGGTACTAATCTCTTACAAATAGATAAGGCTTCCGCTAAACAGCTGTTCGTACTGTTGTGTATCACGATATCAGGAATTCCTAGCTGCCAGATATAATAATTCTTTTATATAGCCTTTTTTTTTGTTAATTTTTTTTGTTTAATGTAGGCTACAGAACTTCATGGCTACAGACCTCATTCATACGTGGTATAGCCTTGCTGCAGCTATATTAATAGTATAGTTGTAGCAAGAATGGGTCGGCTCGACCGGGAAAGGACCACGCTCTCGCAGAATACCAGCGTAAAATAGCAGCTTAGCGCTGCTGTGTTTCGTATGGTGAGAGTAGAGAACCGGAGACAATTTTTACTGGAAAAGAGGCATTTCATCTTAGTCCTCACGGCTGACAACGCATCTGCATTTTAATTCGCAAACGAAGATAGACGTAGATGTCTATGGGCCACAGCAACCACTTACCATCAGGTGGACTGTGTGCTCCTTTGTCACACTATTTCTATAAAAAGAAATGGGCAGAAATAGCCATTTATCAACAGGTACGAGTAGACTCGTTTCTGGTTTTCTGGTTGTCACTCCATTGTGAACAAGCTTAATGGTTATAACAGTAATTAAAAGAACCCGACTTTGTTAAAAAGTTTACTGATAAAAAACTGCCGCACACTTTTCTCGTAAATGCAATATATAAATATTAAATAGCATTTGTCATTACCACAATTAATACGAACTTAACGACACCTCATATGATAAAATCCATCAAGCAGAAACAGACAGACATACATACTCTCGAAAAACATTAGCCTGCTTCTGGGCAGTCGGGTGAAAAAGGAAACATTAACTATCATTTATCATACATAAATGAAAGCACTCACCATCTCATCGTAGATGGTCTGCGTGTCTGCAGTACAGTCGTACGCAGCGTCATATGTGAACAGCTTGTCCTCGCCCTTGGGGTTGTAGACCTGCACCGCACCGCGCTCCGGCCACACCTTCACCACCTACACAGCACCATGGAATATTAGTGGCAAAATTTGACATACATAAGAAAATAATGCTTGAGTTACCCAGGCAAATATGTTAGGACTAGTTTATTTTAATTGTTATACATATGTCATTTTCGAATCTTTTAAAAAAATCTAAACACGATTTATTAAGATATTTTTGTACTAAAATATAATCTACACGTGAAAATAAAGATAAAAAATTTAAATTTCTAGCCCGATTAAAGTATAAATAAAGTGTACTATAAGTGTAAATAATTGATGACATAGCGTTTTTGCTCATAAAAATTTATAAAAATAGAATTTCATAATTTACGACACGATTACATACAAATTCTACACACGAAATCAAGTACAATGGTAAAGTTGCAATGCGAATGTTAGCATTTAGTTTAACGTAACCAACCACCCGTTAAATTGACCAGTTTTACGGTTTTACTCAAGGCTGTCCAGACCTAAGGCATTGTCTAAACATTTATAAAAGGCTTTGGTCATTTATATTTTTTAATATAATTAAATAATAACAACAATTTAAGTGAAGAGACTATTATTTCTCTCTATACAATATAACTAATGATACCTCTGCAGTCTGACAACCCTGCTCTCAACTCGTACCGTGTAACAATACCTTTTTTCTCTCATTGCCAGTTTTTGTATGCGAACGGCTCCTATAAAAAATCCTTTATCCCGAAATGATTTATTGTTAACAAAAAGCTTTTTATAAAACTACGGTTTACAGTTTTCAATTTACGTTCCAAAAGCTGCCTCAAGCACGATGTTCGTTTGTTACGATGTTGCAAGTTTTGAATTAATCTAGATAATGATTTGGGTTAGTTATAGCGAAGACTTAATAACTAATACTTAATATAACATAATAACTACCTTAATCAAGCTAGTGTTAATAGAATGACAGCGTCTGTTTATTTACAAGTTATAGATGAGCATACTAAATCCTCTGGTTACACGAGGTATTTATTTAGTTCATTACATCAAATTAAATTCCGAGGAGTTTATTTACATCAAATTAATTTCCAGATAAATATTTGAATGCCTCCAATGGAACCATCGAATATTGCTAAGCGCAAAATAATTTGGTTCGAACAGATATATTTGAGCTGATGAAAAACAATTCTATGAAAGACGTCATTGGCATCTTTCCCACAATACGTAACATAAATTTAGACGAATTCAAATCGAATGGAGGAAACGAATTTCTTCATTAGAATCTTATAAATGAATAAATGATACTTTTCTGCCGACTTCCAAAAAGGAGACGGTACTCAATTCGACTGTATGTTTTTTTTATGTGTGTTACCTCATAACTTTGTACTGGGTGAACCGATTTCGACGATTCTTTTTTATTTGAAAGCTGGTCCTTCTCGTGTGGTCCCATATGAATTTGATCAAGGTCAGACCAATAGTTTATGAGTTATTCTTAAATAACTTATATTGAAGTCAGCTGTACAAAATTTTTAATTTTAAATTATGTACATCTATAGATCTTATTCGGTCAAAATTCAGTATTTACTCGTAATTATTTAATGAAATAAGTGAAACTTTCAGCTGCTTATTTTGATTTGCTTAGAACATATTTACAAATAGCTTGATTTGCGTGTAATGATCATATTTTATAGGTGGTGCTGCGAGTCGCCGGCGTGAAATTACGATGCTCGGGGCGTGTTCATTATCGCACGATCGATGCGTTTATAAACTGCAAATAACCAAGCTATGCGTCCGTGCATGTGAAATTTTTGCCAATGTTATAGAAAATTGTACTTCATTCAAAGATTTTGCATATATTGTTCTAGTTAAGTTGAAATATAACAGAATATTATGTTTCAGTAGCATATTCTGTGTACATTCAACTTTTTTTTAGAATAAAAGTGACAAACGAGCACACAGTCCACCTGATGGTAAGTGAATGCTGTGGCCCATAGACATCTACATAGATATCGATTAAGATTCAAATTGCAGATGCGTTGTCACCTCTACTACTGAGATGGAATGCATCGTATCCAGTAAAAAAGGTCTAACAACGAAAGATCTTAACTGATTGTGCGTCAATATAAAAAGTACTTAACACGAGCAAAATTTCTAAGGCAAGGGCACATAGCTTTTCCACCACCATATTGTGAGAACCTTCTCCTTTGTGAGCGATTGACTTAAATACTAGTTCCGCAGCCCGGTTATCCTCAGCCCGTGTTAGTGCCTCGTCAGACCTGTAATGGAGCGTCTATAAATTTTTTGTCGTCCTTCGTGCGGGTGGAGAGTCGCTCGTACCACTTCTGCTCGGGCCGCTTCGTCTTCACCTACACATATTAGTTGTTTACATTACAAACATCTTTGAAATACAAAACACATAGTTTACATGGCAATAGAAGTAAAACATTCACCTAAGTGTAAGTGATATTACCTATTATTTAAACATAGCTTGTTACGATACATAATGTTTTTGTTTTCATTAATGCTTTACAATTTTCGTATAACATACAGAAATGTAGTACATGTAAGAAAATGCAAGATTTTAGTGTGGTAAGATTGAGAAATACGTACCTACCATAAAATTGGTTAAGAAAATTCTAACGAAACTTAACAATAATTTAATAAATGGAATTATATTATTTCATTAGTTTTCTTATGATAAATTTTAAACAGAATTTGCACGAAAATTGTTTGTTGCCTCACAACGTAAATATATTTTGTTATGTAGATTTATGGGCGCTATGGAATAAAATAGAATAATTTTTATTAAATATAGATTACAAGAATAGTCATTAAGTAATTTATGCTTTTACCACAGATTCGGAAAAACCTCTGTCCTGGGGAGAACCAACAAGAAACCCAGCGGGACTTCTTTTCTATATTATTAACTTACATTATCTGTTGTACTTCTAGTTTTAGCTTTAGTCTTAAAGTATGTTTGTAATAAGTTAATTGCATAACCTTGCCTTGCAAAAACAAATAAAAAAAAATTATAACTGTATTTTTTTGTACAAAAAGAGCCCGGTATATAATATATAGGTACACATACTATATGTGCGTTGTTGTTAGTAGAGGCGGTAGATCATTTACGGCGGTAGTCATGTATCAACTTTGACTATGTACCTAATGTTATTAACAAAAAACGCTGACTCACTCTACATACATGGATCTCTTGTTTGAGCAAAAATATAATAGCGTCATTAAGATGCAGTAGAGATTACATGTACTAAGCAACATATACGTCACTCCTATCATACTAATGTGATTACGATTTCTTTTCATTCATCTGAGGACTTAGATATATAAATCCACGATACACACGACGACTCATAGACGGCGCTTGCGTAACCTCACTGCCCACTAGCTCCTTTATTCATTCACCCATTACAGCCTATAAAAGTCCGCTGCTGAACATAGGCCTCCTCCACACATTGCATCAAAACAGGGATTTTACCATAGTTGCCACGCTTGGCTGGCGGTTTGGCAACTTCAGTTTTTTATTATTTGAGTTGTTATTAGGAAGATGCTGCTGCCTATCTCCTGCTTCAGTTCGCGCTAGTTTTAAACGTCATTAGGTGTGGAATATATTATTACTTTAAATTGCCTTGTGGTGTCGGTGGAAGAATATCCACTGTCCCATACCGTCGCGTGGGTGTCGCAAAAGGCGACAGAGCGATCTACATTTAATATGTGTACTACGCCTATTTCTGACAAATAAATGCATTTTCTTTCTTTCGTACATATGGATAAGAAAGCAGTTAAAAATTAATTAGCTGGAATCTTAGCTAATTCATTTTCAACATGTTTAAGAGGAAATGCATACCGAGAGACTTTAGAAAATTAGGTATTTGAAGAAACTATCTCTGTCGCTGTGCGAGTGCACGGCGTCCGATAAGGACTACTGCCGATCCGACTAAATAGTCTAAATAGCCAATTTTGAGCATTTTTTAAGAGTTCTCGTGCTTATACGAGTAAAGATAATGTATCATCAAAAAGGAAAACACAAGGACATAGAAAAGGTTGCTATTTATTTTACTGTAAAAACTCATTGGTATAAGGTCATAAACCAGAAAGAAAACAGACGAGAGCGTTTGTATGGAGAAAAGACTAATATTATGGATTTCCGCAAAGTAATGCCTAATTTCATTAATAATATGAAAGAAGCAAGATAGATGTGTCAGATGGAAGTCCATAGCCTATGCCTACGCTTCTGGACTCTGAGTAACAGGTGTCAGAGTTTATGTATGTATACATAGTACATACATATATTGTTATGTATATGACGGCACGTGCACCATTGCACGTGCGGCGGCATCGGTGTAGCTAGATAGAATTCTTGTAAATAACACGTGCTCCGTACACCTGCACCATTGCACCTGCGGTGGCGCCCGTTTAGCTTGTATAAAACGGACGGAGCTGCCGCCGTTAGGACAGTCTTGGCTCTGATGTGGAACGGTGCGCTTGTCGTATTCCGTTACTAGTTTATCCTCGACTCGTTGGATAATTAATTCGTGTAAACGAATTGATTATTATTCTTAACTACAAAATCAGTCTCTGTACTAACCCACTGTCACTTCCTACATATATTTTATCAATTCAGGAAATAAGCAAACATTTAATTTTTTCACTCATGTAACGATACTGCTTTACAGTCACTAGTCTGGAAAACAAGTTTCAGTATTTCCCTATTTATCAGAACACAGCCGTCGAGTTAATGATCAAGATACGAGAATCGAGAACAAAACGCTTAAACTGATTATATTTTACTACCATACTCAAGGCAAACCGCCGTTGGTCACGATTGTGTACTTTGAATCAATGGATGTTTGCAAATAAAAATCTATAGTGCATACAGTGTTTCAAAGACAAATGTGCCCTAAATACTCTTAACAGAGTTCGCAGCTACAAAGACATGGCTTCATCATCATCATTATCATCATTACAGCCCTTCACAAGTCCACTGCTGAACATAGGCCTCCCCCAAGGAATGCCACAAAGCACGGTCCTGAGCCACC